ATGAGCTACCTAATTACTAATATCATGACTTTATGGAATAGAAGACTATGTAGGAAATAAAAAAGGAAAAAAGTGGCTACAAATTGAACACCGGCAACTGTAAAACAAATCGACATTGTTGTATGTTGTAGTTTCTCTTTTAGATGTGGATACAAAAACAAAACCCATTTGTCCAGTTAGCCAAAAAAGATAAAACCTTGCTTGAAATATGGAAGCTTTAATTTAGCGAACCATTTTTCTGGGAGAAAGACTAACAACCTTTGTCCTTCCTTTGTCGAGCAAGCAACTAAATCAAAGGTTTTGAAAAAAAAAATGTTTCGGTGGAATACTTACTTTCTCGAAGTAGAAACTGGGAACCGAGTCGAGCCTTTGACACTTTTTAATACACTTTGGGCTCCCTTTTCTCATCAGGGAACATGAAAGGCGAATGCCCTTGTAGGTAAACATGATCGTCTGTAGAAAAGGTTGACGACATCGTATCGATCATACTTGTTGCTTCGCTAGACTTCAGTTTTGAAGATGAAAAGCCTATTGCTAAAGCCAGGGTGAGCTTTAATTGGTTTTTTTTGTGAACTGAAAATTAAAATTATTTGCGGCGAACAGATTCTAAAGCACATCCTATAGATTTTCATTGAGATTCAAGTTGACCATTGAAAACCAGAAGTCCATATCAACTAATGTTGCAATAAATAACGTCTAGTATGTGGTAGCATATTCAAAGCTAAACTAAAAACTTTCTTGTTAATACTCAATAGGAATCTATTCTATGAAACTGACAACTGAGTTTACCTTTTCGCAGACTATCGAGAACTATAAGTTTGATAGTTTAAAGTTCTTTTAGGAACTTCAGTTGTCTTTAGAACGAAGTTTGGAACTGAAATGTGCAAGGTTTCTTTGTCATAAATTAATTCTATTTACATAAATTGATTTGATTGGTAGAATTTTTACGAGTACATACTACTAATTAAACTTTGGTGTTTAGAAAAAAAAGATTGGTGTACCTTACAAATACATATGCGTTAATTAATATTCTGGTAATGCTTCGGTTTAGGAGAACGAGGCAACTTATAACACAGCAACACTGAGTAAACCTATTATATACTTTTTACTATTGGCTAAATATGTGTATACTATGAAATGCAAACTTTATCTAGGCTATAATGAACATTAGATTAATTTCAATTATGTAATATACCTAAGATAACTATATAGCGTTATTGGTCAATTTGTTACGTTTATGACTATGAACCTCCAGCATGGTTTGAAACATGTCGAGTTACTTCGTCAAATACATAAAACAAAAACTGTTAATAAATATTTCCCAGAACAGAAAATAAATGAACCAGAAGAGTTACAATTCAAGATTAAATTAAAACCATATTATTACGACTCTGCAAGTTTTTATAAACAATATATAAGCTTACGTAAATCAAGTGATAATGTCACGACGCGATTACTATTGAATTCATTACATTGAATTCATTTTATTGTTTACTGTTTAGTGGCCGCGAAATTAAGTTATTCGTGAACTTGAAATTTCTTTACTACCGTTGGTCGATCAACATATAATAACATATAATACGTTGGCGTTTTGACGTTCCTACTGTTATTTTTTTCATGGTCTTTATGTCTAATGCCAATTAAACGCTATACTATACGCGTTTTACTCTCTTTTCTTTCTTTCTATTAAGTAGGTACTTTATCATCATCATCATTATCAGCCTCCATCGCAGCTGGACTAAACAGGCTTTCCACGGACGCTTGTTATGAGCTTAATGTTCAGCTCTTCGTATGCAACTGCTTCCAGCCAATTTGTGGATATCGTCACTCTATCCATCTGAAGTCCTTTTTTTGAGGGGAAAACTCAAAAAGTGACTTCTCTCGTCCAGAGGGCGAAACTTTTACCGTCTAAAAACCACCCTGTTCCTTCTCACGCTCCAGGCTGAATCCTCGGTGCCTTATCGTGCTTGCCCCGCAACCGCGCCTGAATATCGGCCAAATTGGGCCCCATCTGTTGTGGTCTTCTGGCTCTTTGAGGCCACTCCTGATTTCCTGTGTTAATTAATATCTTTACTATTGCTAAAAAAAAAACTATCCATACATCGTTAACACAAATTTATCTAGATATTACCTCAAGATTAGATCACTAAGCTCCAAAGCAGAGCTTGCGTACTAAACTGCACAATCTAGGGTAATATAACCATTGTTGGTAAGCATCACGTACATTACCAGTAAGGTCGTGGCCAACCTTGGATTTACAATACGATTTATTTGTGTTTTATTTCCTTTGCTTATACCGTTTACTGGTCTTTTAAATGTTTTATTGAAAAAAGCAGGTGTTCATTGAGTAACGTCTACATCTAACCATACGGCGAATTACTTTCTGAAGTGAAACTTATAATTTTAGAATCAACTCAGTAGTGGTCAGTCTAGACTTCTTTAGTCATTAGGGCTGTGCTGTTTTCCAAAAGTCTAGAGAGTCTAGTCTAGATGAGCTCGACCTCAGAACTATTCTACTTGAATTTCTTTGCTTAGTTTGATGAATCTCTTTGCAACATAGATTTTTTTTGGAAAAATGTTTACAAATTTTCTATTATTACGGTCTGATACAAATGTAATAAAATATGAATGTATAGAACACCTCTGCCCAAACTTATTGATATGTATCCGGTGATAAAGTGACGTCTGCGCTACGTGACCCATTCAAAAATAGAAACAAGACTTAACGTAAGCTGATTCATACATTTAAAATACATTTTGTATTTATTTGGTTTATAACACTGTTCGCTTCTCGAGTGGTTATAGAACGTTCTGAAGGAATTTAACCAGTTAAGTATATTGAAACCAGGATCGTTCCAAACATGCGACCGTACTCCAATACAAGAAAAGGGTAGCAATATCTTGACATATTTTGTTGACCTTGCATCCTCCCCTGCCATGGAGATGTTGGCAGAACTTCTGTATAATAGAAAGACTTTTGTTCAGTAGCGAATGTGTTCCAGGTGATGATAAATCAGTTAGATAATTCAGTGATTTAAACTTAATAAGGAAGGATAAGTGCAGATGATATCAGAATATTCTAAGATCATAGACAGAGCTTAGTAGAATTTGTTTTTGCCTATATGGTGTTTGTAAACTAGCAAGATAATAGGAGTAATAGTCTGTGTAAAGAAGAAACTTCAATTTATTGTATCAAGCACTAATATGTCTATTCTTTAAATAAACGATAAGAACTAGGGTAAACTCACCTAATTGTGACTTACTTACTGAACCCTACGCACATAGGCCTACAAAGGGTTCAGTTTAATAAATTGGATTTTACTTTTAACTCCGAATTAAGGGAGTCACCTGTGACTGACCAATGTCAGTCACGTCAAGTCTAGTTTCACAATTATATAGGTGAGTTTACCCCAACCACATGCCTTAAAAAAACGATAAGCCAAAAGACTTGTGATCAGATCTCTTGCAGATGATAATAATAATCGTTTATAGTGAAAAATGGATTTATCATTGAATACTTCTGCGTCTTTTTTTGTTTTGGGTATGCAAAATTTTCCAATAATGAGCGGGGCGACAGTGGAGTACCAGACTTTTTCTAACTTAAAACTACCCCGTCTCTTCTTCTGCTCCGAACCGGGTACATAACTGCGGAAAAATACTGTCGTTATAAAATCCCAACAATTTCATTACACTGTTGAGAAGGAATGCTATGCTTTTATTGACCGGCCTTTGGCAAATAAAAGAATATGTGAACAATAGAAATATCAAGTCGAAGGTTCCAACCAGTAATTAATTAGAGATATAGAAGCTATTGAACATGGATGTTATTATTATCATGTACGTACGTAATTAGTCTATCATTAACGATATTACGTAGAACTAAGAATATTATAGTATTCTTTTCAGCGAAAAATTAAATATTTACCAAAGTTAAAGTTCAAGAATATTATTTATAAAAACTGCGACGTACTGGGATGTTTTGTGTGCATGGCTGGTTTTACAAACTTGTAAATGTTTATTTTACATATCACATCACAGCTAGATTCGTAACAATAAATAATTTGTGGATGACGGAATAACTATTTGTGAATTATACATATGTGAGTACAATACCCATTTCTGAAACTGCATAATATAATCGTTTCTGAATATACATATATTAAATAGCGCTGTTAGAAAAAACCAGGGTTACGAGCTCAACTATGTAGGTATGTACTTCGAGCGTACGGCGCGTAGAGTTCCGCGCGCCTCAAAGGGCCAACAGACCACTACAGACGGGGCCCTATAGGGCTGATGTTCAGCCGGGGTTGTGGGGTAAGTGCAATGAGGCACCGCGATTTCGGCCCAGAGCAGGAGGAACGGGGGGGTTTTTAGTCTGTAAGATCTGACACTCTCTCGCCTTACCCTGGGCGGGAGAAGTCATTTGATGATTTTCCGCTGACAAAAAAAAACTATGTATGTACTACGGTCCCGGGCCGGAGTAGAAGGGACGATGTGGATTTTAGTCAGTAAGAGTCTGACACGATCGCTTGTCGAAAAAAGCTTTGCAAGAAAAAAAACAAAATCTATTTGCCTTAGTGTTGTATTTTACCTTTTTAACCAACTCTAAAAAAAATAATTTTTGTCAAGTCGACAGTCGACTTGAGAAAAATTATTTTATATTAATGTTTTTCTTTGAAGTTAGATGGAGGTCGTTGACTCTCAGCCCGTATTATATTATGAATATGCGCAATTAGTGCATCAATATGCTTTAAGCAGTCGGCAGTCAGCTCGAACAATACCCCACGTACAGCTGTACAGCTAATGTATGGGCCCAAACAAACACCGTCCATGATGAATCAGAGCTACATAACCGCTTGTATTGTGCTGCTAACATATTTGGTAATTAATGGCCGAATAATACATAATTACGAAGTTTAATAATCACTAGGGTACTGGATATTAAAACATTTTTAGCACATACACTACTTAATAAGTGTGGGAGAGACATGTAGGCACGAATGGGTCGGCTCGACGGGAGTGATACCACGGCCTCACAGAAAATCAGCGTGTGTTTCGCCGCGTGAGTGATGTTACAGGAGGCCCAATCCCAAAATCTCCTAATCCCTAATCCCCAAAAGCTCTGTTGTTACGACTGTCCATCAGATAATCCTAATAATATAATAAAGCTCGCTTGCAGACTTATAACATCAAATAATAATAAAAATAGGAAACTGATTCTTTCTATTTGTTAAATTCGTGTTTGTTCCGATATTTTATGAATGTACAACTACAAAATTAAATATTGAGCGCTATTCCCACCGTCGAAATTCCATACCAATTTGGTCGATTTATAATTAATGTTTTAATTTTTTTTACAATAATAAAAAAATGAAAAATCACGACCGGCCCGTTGCAGAAAAACCAAAGCATAGCGTTATGAATTACGAAAAACATCACAAAAAAACACACCCTTTTTAAAAAGGGTGTTATAATACTCATACGCCAGTTGTGAGATTTTATTAACATACCTTTTATGACGGATGTGAACTTTGAACCTTATTTTATGGACCTTTGTTACACCGTAACCCGTATGACATAAAACTGTGAAAAAGTATCTATTTACCTACTCGATAGGTGTAGGTACTTTAACAATGTTCTTAAGATCTTTCGTAGGCAGCCTTACTAAAAAAAAAAAAATACAGTGATCGTCGTAAGTGTGGGAGAGCCTTGCTTTGACAGTAATGGGTCGGCTCGACCGAAGTCATATCATGGCCTCACACGAAAACGACTTGAAACAACAACAGCGTTATGTTTCGCCGAGCGAGTGAGGCTACTGGAGACCCAATCCTTCGCCTACCCCAATCCCTAAATCCCCAAAAGGTGAGCAACGCACTCGTAACTCTTCCGTTGTTGAGCGTATCCAAAGGCAACGCGGATTGCTTACCATCAGGTCCGTTCGATAGTTTGCCGTCCTATCACACAAAAAAACCGAAAGCAAATATCATAAGACGTTCCAAGCCATCGTATGTATATCTAACAAACCTCTATACACTATACATACCTACATACATAGAAGGAAAGTACCTACTTACCCTAATAGTAGTTAGAAGTAGACATGGCAACAATACGGACTGCCCGGTGTGCGCCGGACGTACGTTACTTATGGCGATATTTATCACCGCTTCTAGAGGCTATTTTACTCCCAAAAGTCACCATCAAGAGTTGGTTTGGTATGTTGTATTGGCAAGCTCAGTAATGTACTGCAGCCCTAGGCCGAATGAGGAAACGGAACGGAAGGGTTTTTAGTCAGTAAGAGTCTGACAAATCCTGTCTCTCACCCAGGTCACGAAAAGTACTTGGACGTTTTTCGCACCTCCAAAAAAATTACATGAAATATACACCTTTAGGGTGCAGTTCCATTTAGGCGGAGCGCAGCAGAGCGGAGAAGAGCTATGCCGCGATTCACCAATCACATGTGGGTGTCTCTTCTCCGATGTGGCTTTGCTCCGCTCCACTTCAATGGAACTGCACGCTTAGTCTTCCTGCGGGTTGCTTTAACTGTTTTCTCTCACCCTGGATGAGGCAAAGCAAATGTCAGACTCTTTCTGACTAAAAAAAAACCTGTTAATAGTCGAGGCCGCGTCATATCATTGCGCTAAAGAAGTATGCAGAGATTGTATTATATGGTATTATGTAGTTTTAGCCCACTCCTAAATACAAAGGGGTATATTTAAGTAGTGTTATGTTCTGCAGTAGAATCCCTTCATATGCTACTTACAAGGTTACAAACAGTAGGTATCTAACTCATGATGTAACTAGCGACAATGAACTTGACACAACCAATATTAAATTTTGTAGCGACTGGTTGCGACCAAGGTTGTATCAGTTGCACATCAATTGCTACGAATTGTATACAATGAATAATTTGCATTGTGCTAATCAATTGTCCATTACATATATATTCGGTGCTCTTGAACTTGACTTTGTAAAGAGCATGTTTTATTTCGGTTGTATAAATACACAGGTTCGATAGATAGTTGAGTTTTTGATTACCTATAGTTACCGTTTTCTAAATTTTACGTTGTTCATGCTTTTCATTGTTTGTAAACTTTTTTTAAGCGAATATTGTTAAAGAAGTACTTAATAACCTTAATTATTTCCTGCTATTTATCAAATCAGAAGATGATCAGCTTTTTCCAAATAAAGTTTTGGGAATATTAAAACATTCACGAGACATTTCTTCACAAGGCACGGGTTTCTATTAAACTTGGTACTAACATACATATATGTCAAAATCTAAAAAGTGAATAATGAATATTTTCGAAGAATTCATGCATGACATAATTTGTTCTGTCTCTGATTTACCAAGTAGACTTCTACAAATATGTACTACAACGCATGTAAGGTGTAGCTATACCAAAGGGCATATTGTTATCATATTTTTGAGTTTCTCGAATATGGGACATAATGTTTTCCGACTACATAAAGTACGCACCTTAGTTTTAAGAATACATCCGTAGCACTATGTTGTTGCTTCTAAACATGTAAAAAACTGTTACAATAATGATGAAGTGTCGAAGAGGTTTTCTAACTTGCAACAAAGGTATTAAAACTCTTTACATATAAGAAACATGTAACATTAGCATGAACAGCATTAAATGGGTGTTTAAAATCACAGTTCACGTGTTTTCTACTTAATTCTTGAATACATTATATAGGCATATTGATATGTACGTATCAATAATGATTTCGTAAGTTGTTTTTTTTTTATCAGATAAGGCAACACACGAGCTTACGCATTACGTAATGGTAAACAATGGCCACCGCCCTTGGACATCCGCAACTTTTGAGGAGTTACATGTGCTTTCAAGGCCTTTTGCGAATTTAGGGATTCGGGAGTGTCAGTAGAGGGCAAGGCATGGGCCTCCAGTTAAGAGAATATGACGAAAAAGAGGTTGAATGACCACTGGCACTGGCAAATTAATTATTTCTACTTATACTATATGGAAGACATAAGTACCTAATTTAGGTATTTTGTTTATCCTTAGCTACTTATGCCGAAATAAAGCAATCTGATTTATTTTACATTCGTTAGTTAGTATGCCATCTGACACGTTCTATCCAATCGAGCAAGCTTTGCCATTTATCTTTAGCTCGCAACTCTGAGTTAGTATTCCGTTTGTGATTCTTATATCATTCTCTTGAAATCGACAACTATGATAGATATATCAAGCTATAGATAGTGGCTATTAATAGAGCCTAATTCTGTCTTAGAATATTCAGTCTACCTCTTTACAATTTTTCTGGGTGCAAAACCGCGCACTCCTCAATTAGCCATAGACTACTACTGATGTTGTTATCATCCGGGGTTTCGGGACAAGCGCAATAAGGAATGTACCACGGCCTCTGTCTGAACCAGGAGAAGGAACGGGTTTTTGTCAGTAAGAGTCTCATATTCGTCACCACCAAAAACGAGTGCAAACGCAATAAGCTACCGTAGTCCTGGACGAAGCAGGAGTAGGAACGGGTCGTTTTTTAGTCAGTAACAATCTATCAATGTGTTTATCTGCTGTCTAGGGCGAAAGGATTGCTCTCAGCCCACCCAGAGCGGAGGAAGTGATTTGATGAATTTCCACACTCAGCCAAAAACCTCTTTGGAGTTGCACCTACTTGCCAGACTTTTGCCAATCATAACAGCGATCTGCCATCGTGACAAGCAAGCAAAACACGTCAAAACAACACTAACAATGGAATCAGTAACAAACAAATTGTTCAAGTGAATTTATAACAAACTTTGTGTCTCGAATCACAATTCGCGTCTCGCGCGGGAATTGACTCGCAATCTATTCAGAGCATCTTACAAATTATAATTACCAATGGGCATTGCAAAATGAAATTATAATATGGGCACAAGGATTTGATTGGACACAAATGTTGGGGGGCTTTTGTAAAGTATATTTGCAATTGGCGTGAATGGAGTCCATTCTCCATCTGTAGTTATGGTGGAAACAGATTTGATGGTCAAAACGGGTACTTAATAATTACTAACATATAACTTCTGCTGCACATTTCTTCAATAATTTATTTATTTATCTCTTCTTTTTTTCTAGAAATGTTGCCCCACACTAGAAATTTTCTCCTGTGCCGTGGGTAGAAACGTACAATTTCACATCCACATCACACTGAGACTCAAAAACAATTTATGGATCACAGAAAAAGTTATTCTGTTGCCCAGCCACCTTTACTGAAGTAAACTATTATGTGTTTCTAAGCCTATTTTATAATGTAGAAACATTCTTTATGTCTATCATTATTAGTCTATGATATTTATGTTTACTCCATTATTAGATATGCACTGTTCACTCACTCAACGACCTTTGATTGTATTTGTTGTAGTCAGACAAGCCTTGGTCTCTTGAGTACAAATAACTAGAAAATTACGTATTCGATTCTAATAATTCTTCTTTTGTTGTTTTTTTATTTGAAAATTGTATACCTTCAAGAAATGAGCATACTTCTTTTTGAAAGCCGGCAATTGGCCGGTTGCAGCTGCCAATAGGCGGCGCTGATCACTTAACATCAGGTGATCCAGCAGCTCTTTTGCCTACTATTCCTTAAAAAATATTGAGAATTTCAACCTTACCTTGCCGTGGCGATTCTCAAACAAACAGGTGACACCGAGGTAGTAGTTATCACAAATGGTTTTTTTTTTCTAGAATGGAGGTGGGAGTCCAAGTGGTGGGCATAGTTCTCCGTCTGCTGAACTTCTTTCTGGCGCCATTGTTTTGGTTCCGCGCAAGAGACAGCCGTCGTCTGCCGCCCGTCACCAACCCTGTGCTGCTCAAAAGTGCGGCCGAGTTAGCAGATTCTGTGAGGAAGGGTGAAGTAAGTATTGATTATTGTGCTGTTTCAGTTTATATAGGGTCGTGTGAACTTGGGTCATATTTAAAAGATTAAAAGATGTCTTCTCTTTCTTGGAGATTTCGACTAAAAAAGTAGAGAAATCGGCTCCAATTATGGGGTCATCATCGTCACCTCAGAGACAAGACATCTACGGCTGGGGATAAATATCAGATTATTTTTATGATATTATCCTCTACCGATGTGTACCTATGCGTAAAAGAAAATGACACTGAAAGTACTTGTGAGTCATCCACCCAACATAGATCCTTTAGTTTATCTTTAGTCTTATCCTCAGAATACAGAACAAACCAGAAGCCGCGTTCACTCATAATTGTGTCCAAAAACAATACGTCAATCCCCCCGCCAGCCGCACTTCCCACCCGCGTAGTGTTGCCGACAGTGGAACAATTCCCTTGGTTTGGGGTAATTTTACAACAGGAGGGTAAGATACGAGTAAACCCAACAAAATAGGTAAACTTACGATAAATGCAACAGACTAGTTGTTCACACATTTCATAGAGGTATCATAAAAGTTGACGATTTCTGGATTTGTTAATTTTAGTTACACCTACTATACACAACAAATAAAATAAAGCTTCAATAAGTACAAAGGTTTTATTGCGTTCCCTTTTGCTGGTTTAGTTTTTTATATGTATTGTCTTTAGACTCCGAACTAAAGATTAGAAGTCTACTTACTTTACTTAGTTCCTGAGATTAGCGCATTCTAGCAAACACACAAACAAACTCTTCAGCATTATAATTAGTATAGATATATCTTAGTAGGTTATGCTGTTTTCAAACCACCTTTGTCATAAATATATCTCTTCAAAGTGAATTGAGCAAACTATGCTCTGGCTAGATGGTTTCCAAAATTAATCTAACCGTGCCCTTTGTATGATTTGTATTTATTTTTTTGTCAGGGAAACTAATATGACATAGGCTCCATAATGGACAAAAATATAACCCACAACAAATAAATAAGTGGGTAAAATTTTCACCAAAAATGACAACACTCACAAAATGGCCGCATCATTTTCATAGAAAAATAAATCGATAAAAAAAATCAATAATTAATTAAATATACTATTGCAGTCGATGCTTGCAGATGAAATGTAATCTTATCCACTTTTTTCGTAATTCCAGCTGCATTTTTACTCGTAGTAATAACACAAGACGGCATAATGAAATTAAAATTGATACTCGTAAATACGTCACGACATGCCACGTGCCAAAATTGACTAATCGTAGAAATTTCATACTATTCTAGTTGAGAATGGTTTTAGTTGCTTTAGTTTGAAGCGCGATGACGCCTTCTGGTTTGTTCTGTATTCTGAGGTCTTATCTAAAAAAATATCTTTTAATCAAAAGCAGTGGTTTTAATAATCGAACAGTGTTCTCAAATAATAGGTTTCTCAATCCATTAGACCATAACCAGTTATTGCGTACACCTAGAGTTTAGTGTTTACTTCTGAACGCCAATTGACATACTTGAAACATCCTGACAAAACGCCCATTTGTATGACAACACAGCGACTGCGACTGCATTTCTGAATGCATTAATTGTCAGTGTGCGCAGTGACAATTGTCAATTATCAGTTAGTGTGACACAAATGTGCATTGTGTGGAGAAATTACTGATGTGTCTGATGATAATTATTGTTGGGAAATATCGGGTCGTTGATAAAGAGCAACGTACTACCTTTGAGACAGACTGGTGTGTTGCAAGCTATATCAATAGCTCTTCAAACTTCCGAGCATAACCTTTGTGGTTATAACTTGCATATACACTATCATCTGCTTATAATATCCAATGATGAAATATAATATATATAATATATATAATATGAAATATATGAAATATGAAATATAATATATATAATAACATATTGTCAAGAAACTATTAATGATTTAAGCACATTTTATTTTATTTCAATAGGAACAGTGATAAACTACAGACTAAGACAATTAGCTTAATTAGACAATATGCAATAAATAAATCTGATTGGATCACAACATTCAATGATTAATATGCGCCCTTGGACAATAAGGTGAAGTAATATAGAAAGAAGTTACTGAATGAAACAATATAAATAAGAGAAAATAAAAATAGAGAATTACAAAAAATTAAAGTCTTTTTAGGAACAAGTCTATCTTAGAGCATAATGCATTATACATTATGCAAATTTAATGCTTTCATATTTTGCCACGCTGATTGATTTCATATTTTGTCAAGCATTTCATACTTCAAAAACGGCAGTTTTCGAGTTCCAAAAATCCTAACTGATCTTACAAGTAGGCAACATCCTTATACAAGAATATTTTACAATGGCTATAGAAGAAGTCGTTGATTTGACGTTGATATACGGCGCTCAGTGTAGCGCCTGATTCGACTACAGATTTTATGCCTTGAACTGTAGCCAATTCAAGGGCTTTCTATTTGTCCTGTACTATAATGTACAAAGGTACTTCTTTGCTTTCCTGTTTGTTTTTCAAGCCATTGTATTGACTAGTAATGTTCCTTAACTATTCTAATGGAATTCTCATTTTATGCTTTGTTTAATTGAGAAGAAAGGCTTGCTGTATTCGGGCATCCACGTCGATGATGCCAATCTTTGACTTTTTTGCACTCATTGTCAGAGTTAACTCTGCAGAAAATTTTGTTTTCGGTGTTGCACATGTGAGACGTCCACTTAGGTGGTGTTTATCTAGAAGGTCTGATTAATCCCCTTATAATTAAGAAAAAAGTCACCCTACACAAGGATTTTCTGCCGTGTCCAGGGTGTGTTTTATAATCATACAAAATAATAAAAACAATACAAATTCCCAAGCCCCCAGACTTTAAACAATAATACATATGTTGTTGTTGAATTAAACTCGTGGTGCGTTGCGTAGCAGCCGTTGTCCAGCCACTGCGCCTATCTTGCAGTCAATTTTTTAAAATTTTTCCTTAGTTTTGTTAGTAAGTAAGTAACCCGACTTCATATTTAGATTCTACTCATTTATGCTCACAGATATCAAGCGAAGAACTAGTGACAGTGTTCATAAATCGCGTGAAAGAAGTCAATCCGTACCTCAACGCCGTTGTAGAGGAACGGTACAGGGCTGCGATAGAAGATGCTAAGGCCATAGACCGGTGGATTGTGGAGACTAAGAAAAGTGGCTCCTTCGAAGAGCTAGTCAAAGAAAAACCACTCTTGGGCGTGCCTTTTACTGTGAAGGAGAGTTGCTCGCTCGCTGGTAAGTGTCAATCTGGTGAGATACTTGTTCGATTAGAGTTAGAGTTATAATGATGCTGTCGCGTCAGAATGTTTGTATAAGACAGTGACAGCAACAATTTTATTCATCAGAATACATTTATCTGACTATTGAAAAATCAGCCCTAAGTCAGAGAAAAGAACAAAAATAACTTAGCGTAGAAATAACAACAATGTCTTGTGCGCATAAATATTACAGAGAAACGCTAATTTGCTAACGGACGGGAAATAAGAATTGAATGCTAATTATTTTGTTTGAGTATATGAAATGACGAAATCATATTTATTTTTAAAGACAATCGACATATTACTTCATCATGTCGATGTTTTGGGATCAAGTCGTTAATGTAACCAAAATACATAGATACAAAACCATCGTTGTTGCCCTTAAATTTAAGCTTAATTTGATCATGAAAAAGATGGTCTATCTGTAAGATGATTCCTCCCATTCCAGGGCTATCAAACTCGGTAGGATGTCTAGAAAACGCAGGTCGTCGAGCCACCGCAGACGGAGGAGTGGTCAGCCTCGTGAAAAAGGCTGGGGCCATTCCCTTACTGGTGTCCAATACTCCTGAGCTCTGCCTCGGCTGGGAGACCACTAACCTGCTAAGGGGAACTACAAACAATCCTTATTGCTTGAACAGGACTCCTGGTGGATCTTCGGGTGGTGAGGTAAGGGTCGTATTCATGTTGATCTCAAGATATGGGTCTCTTAAGTTATGTCATCTGTAAAAGTGCGTTATAAATCTGCCATAACAAAAGTAATATGGGAAATTATGTTTTGACATAATTGTAGGCAATGTCAATGTCGTACTCGTCCTTAGAATAGAATAGAATTCATTTATTTGCAGGAAGCATGGTACAGAAAGATCTTAGAGCTAAACAGTGAAACTTCACACTTCGCCATAATACAGATGGCATGCAAAATTTATCATTTTCAGGGTTCATTGTATGTATACCAATGAAACGTCAATTACATGTGCAGAATAATTATACAATTGATTACCAAATCACCAAAAATACAAAATAATAGGTCAGTACAAAAAATTATTAATTAACACAGTAGTCAAGGTATAAGAAAGTCAAGTTTACAATTATTACAATTAATGTCTCTGTTTTTGTATCAAACGTCAAAATTGTAGTAAAAGATTTCAATGTCACCTTAAGAAGTCATTCAAGTTGTAAAAACTGTGTTCTATTAGCCACCTATATAGTTTAGTTTTAAACAAATTCAAAGGAAGCTCTCTGATACATTTCGGAATTTTATTAAATATTTTTACGGGCATTATAGAGCAGTTCTTTTGACAATAGGCTGTCTTACATGGTGGCATCAGCAAAAGAGTGGGGTCCCTTTTTTTTACAACTGAGTTTAATTTATTGAACATTTGTGGGAAATGCCTACGTTGTTCTTTAACAAATATACCAGCTTGAAGGATGTATAGTCCAGTTAAAGTTAGTAATCTAAGTTTTTTAAACAATGGTCTACATGATACCAGTGGCCCAACTCCACATATTGCTCTAATGCATTTTTTTGGGTTATGAATGCTCGTTTAATATCGGGTGAATTTCCCCACAAAAGAAGTCCATACCTTAAAGAAGAGGCAATAAAGCCATGATACGCTAACAATGCAGTTTTCTGTGATGAAGTCAGTTTTAACTTTTTTAACGCAAATACAAATTTGTTAATTTTTTTGCATATATAGCTAATATGTGCCTTCCAGTTGCAATGGTTGTCCAAAACAATGCCGAGAAACTTCATTTCATTAACTAGTTCAATATTATGCCCCCGACATGTTAAACTTGTAACACTCTGGCTTGCTTTTGAATTATAGTTTGAAAAATTCATGAATTTCGTTTTGGAGAGATTGACGCATAATTTATTATTATCTAGCCAATTTAATATACATTCCACCGCAATCTTCAACCGAGCCTCTCGAGTGATTGCATTTGAATTATGTGTCACAACAAGCGATATATCATCAGCAAACATTACGCATTGATGATTGGTAGCTTTAGGCAGGTCATTTATAAATAGTAAAAAGAGTAAAGGTCCCAGAATGCTGCCTTGAGGTACCCCAGTTTTATTATGTTGAAATTCTGATCTAAATGCACTTAACTTGAAGTCTTTATCTATTCTTTTAATTTCTACACATTGTTTCCGCCCTTTCAAGTAGCTTTTAAGCCAGTCCAGTGCAGGTCCTCTAATACCATACAATTCACACTTATCTATTAGAATGTCATGGTTCACGAAATCAAAAGCACGGGTCATGTCAAAGAATATAACTGAGACAGGAATACGTTTATCGATAGTCTGCGTTATGTTTTTGATTAAATTAAAGGCTGCTAAGGTAGTTGACTTTTTTCTTTGAAAACCATTTTGTTCTTCCGTTATAATATTATTTTTGTCAAGAAATCCTGTAAGACGTTTGTGCATGGCTTTTTCAAATATTTTGGATATAATATTTATGAGGGTTATTGGGCGATAGTTTTTTAGTTCGTGTTTGGAGTTCTTTTTGTGTAGTGGTCTGACTATGGATACTTTAAGTTGCTCAGGAAATGCCCCCTCAGTAAATGACAGATTAATCAAAGTCAGTCATTGGTCTTAAAAATATGCTAGAACTAACGCGGTCTATATTGCTTAGTTGTATGCTACCTACCCGGGTATTTTGTGCATTAACTTTTTCCGTTTCAATGAAACAGTCATTAAAAGTATTTGCAATGGCTAAAGGGTCCGTAACAAGTTGGTTATTTACGTTGATACATTCAATTTCGTCAGGTAATTTTACACAGTCACTTTCATTTTTGATTATTTGCCACGAAGCCTTACACTTATTTTTTGCTCGGGACATGAAGGCATGGTTCATGTTTACTTGTGATTGAAAAATACATCTTCTTAGCATAGTACTATAATTTTTATATGTTCGTTTATTTTGTGAGCTTTTGCATTTATAATATACATGTTTAAGCTCTCTCTTTCTTCTACACGATCTTTTAATTCCTTTTGTTATCCACTTAGGGGACTTTATACTGGAGTCTATTGACCTTGACAATGTCAATTGTCGTTCCTTGACAATGTCAATGTCGCTGTTAGCACCGATCTTGACCTGTTCAATAATGTTGTCTTACCGACTAATCAGATCGCGAAAATGAAATAATTCCCGTAAAATGCATAATGCTATCTTATAGTATCTTTAACGAACTTGAAATGCTTCAATGCTTATACGTTGGCTGTAATGTTCAATATTATTAGTTACTTTTTTGAGCAGCCTGATTACCTGATGGTAAGCAATCGGTGCTGCCCATGGGCAACCGCAACATCAAAGTAGTTGCGAGTGCGTAGCCGGCCTTTTTTTCGGATATTTAAGGACTGGGAAGAGATGGGGGAAGGAGAGAGATTGAGCCTCACTCACTCGACGAAACACAACGCTGTGGTTATTTTACGCCGGTTTTTTGTAAGGACGTGATATCACTCCGAACGAACTGACCCATTCGTGCAGAAGCATGGCTCTCCCACACCTCTAAATAAAGACAATTTTATCGATGTAACTCGAATAGGTAGTCGTAAAAACACAAAGGTGTTACTTGGCCAAACCATAATGGTCCAAACTAATGTTTGTTATATCTATTATTATAGCTGTGTTACTATCTGTCACTATATTGTGATGTATGACGCAATACCTCCTTTTAAAACTAAACAGTCGGTTAAAGTCATATACGTTGTATTGTAGACTTTTCTTTCTGAATCTAATTTGTTTTGAATTTGACTTTGACAATGAAAATAAATACTCTGAATTTTGGACGAAAAGGTTTACTGAGTGGCGTGCCCATTGGTAAAAAAACACACAAGGAAAAAATTGTAAATAAAGTAAATATGATAAAAAGTATGCTCTATAAAGAATAAGCGCATATTTTTAATGCTAAATTTTATTCCGTATCAATAATATTACTACAATTTTATTCAATCTTATCCTGGCTAAAACAAATAATTAACGAAATTTGTCCATACTTACTTCCAGTTTGTCAACATTATGGCCAAGAGAAATTGGGACTAATTTTTCTTTAATAATATGCAAGTAGTTTTTTTTTAATATTATACCTAATTGCTGACTCCGTGCTGGTAAAATTTTAAAAAGTAGTAATAATAATTTTCGTGATTGGGGAATTGAATTTGCAACTTCTTGCTTTTAGCCAGGCTCACTAGGCAGTATGTTTTAATCCTATAATATTAAAAATGCGAACTTTTTTGTTACCTCCTCTTTAATGTAATTTTAAATACTAATGAATGTATTAAAATTTAGTACCTAGAGAAAAAGATTAGTCTAGAATAATATAATACATAATATGTAATATTAAACTTAAAAAGGAAGGTATTTCATAATTACCTTAAACATTTTGTTTCAATAATAAGGTTCAATTTTCTCTGTTTTCTATTAAACATGCGACTAATGTGTGTGTTCTTTGGTACGTTGTAGGTGTGAAAGTAGCATATTATGCTACTTTTTATATTCCTAAGCGTGTCATAGTTATTATGGCTAATAAATAGACCTATAGTATCATTTTCCCTATTCCTTTTAAGTACAATGTCATGTGTACATAGGCACTCGCTAAGTGGTATGTATGTTTATAGTTGCGCAAGAGTCAACAATGACTTAATGTTTATTGGTTTGCCGCGTTTCTGGAGTCAGTGTTGCCAGTTAATGAACGCTAGTTCGTGACTCGGGTAATGATTTGTTTGTATATTAGGTGAATGGGTAAATAGTTTGCATAGTGAGGCCGAATTTAAATATGGAGATAGATGACAGTTAGTGGGCAAGCTGTATCTCTCTAGGTGTGGGAGAGCCATGCTTCGGCACGAATGGGTCGGCTCGACCGGAGTGATACCACGACCTCACAGAAAACCCGCATGAAACAACCACAGCGTTGTATTTCGCCCTGCGAGTGAGGATACCGGAGGCCCAATCCTTCGTCGGCAACGGACTCGTAAGTCCTCTGTTGTTGCGGATGTCCATGGGTGGCGCTAATTGCTTACCATCAGCTAATCCGTCTGCTCGTTTGCCGACCTATCACATAAAACTATGGAAATATAGGGTGAAACGAAATATCTTGATGTTTGCATGGAACAGGCGGCGTTGCTCGCCAGCGCTGCGTCAGCGCTGAGCGTGGCGTCCGACATCGCGGGCTCTATCCGCCTGCCCGCCGCTTTCTGCGGGGTCTTCGGACACAAACCCACTCCTGGTCAGTAAGGTTCATTACTTACTTCAAAAGACTAAGAAGATGAATGCCTAGATCGAGTTGGTTTTACATTACCTACTATACTACTATGATTGACACCTTCATGATCAGCCTATAAGTGCCCACTGCTGAGCAAAGGCCTCTTCTGACATGGAGAATGTTTGAGGATTAATCACCACGCTTGCTCAATGCGGGTTGCCGATTTCAAACTTATAATTAGAAATTATAAGTCCAGGTTTCCTCTCGATGTTTACCTTCACCGCATGCCAGTAGTGTCTAAATAATCATAGAAGGTACATATAACTAGGAAAAAGTCACATTGGTACTTGCCCGGTTTCGAACCCACACCCGCATGCATGAGAAGCGGGCGCTTAACCTCGGGACCACCACGACACATTGACACCTTAATGTTAACTAACCAATCAGGGAGGCAAACGCTCTATCATTTGATCGCGTTATCTAACTAATTTGGTCAAAAAACTGGCACTAGGCTATTTGTATTTGAGATAAAGAACAAGATTTGTCCCACTACGAATGAGTAATAAGAAATTCAAGTACTTAAAACTTGGGTTGGGTCATATATTTGTGCTTCAACTACAAGCACTAAGGAAATTAAATGGTGTGCATCATCATCGTCATCAGTTTATAAGTGCCTAGTGGCTACCTCTTAGCAAAAACCTCTTCTCACACGGATAAGGTTTGAACATTAATCACAACGCTTGCTCAAGGCGGATTGGCGATTTCAAACTTATAAATTAGAAATTATAACTCCACGTTTCCTCACGATATTTCTCTTCGCTTGTGGTATCTAAACAATCATATGTAAAAGTAGGTACAGGTAACTCGGAAAAAGTCATGTTGGTACTTCCCAGGCTTCGAAACCGCCCTCATACTCAAGGCCACCACGACAACATGCTACTAACAAAGTACCTATGCTTATTAGAAAAGAGGCCTAACTCAAAAAATGAGGTATATTTCAACCTTAACAATTTTGTTTCAATAATAAGGTTCAATTTTCTCTGTTTTCTATTCAAAGTGCGACTAATGTGTGTGTTCGTTGGTACGTTGTAGGTGTAATCTCAATCGAAGGCCACATCCCGACACTAAGCGACGAGCAGTTCCCCAAGTTCCTGACAGTTGGGCCTATGACGCGACGGGCGGACGACCTGCCTCTACTCATGCAGGTCATGGCGGGGCCAGATAACACGCTCAACCTCGACAAACCTGTTGATTTGAGGGAGGTTAAGGTTTGTATAGCATTTTTTTTATAGGTACATTGTCCCCATGCTAGGATTTCGTCTCTGTCGTGGATACGTTTACAAACAAACAATTTCACATACACATCACACCCAGACCCGGAACAACAATTTGTGGAATTGGAAAGAACAAGGAACACAAAGAGTTGTTCCTTGCGGGCGTCGAACCCCGACAGTTGCCAGCCACCGCGCCAACCGTGCAGTCAAAGTATATTGAAATAACAATTGAAATAACCTTTTATTACTTTCTGGAGACTACTAAGTAAGGCCATTTTTACATGCCCCGGGACCCGGATAGCTGGTGTGGGCTATTCAGATCAGACGACAAATGTACGATAAAAGTATCTGTGAACGTATGAAATCAAATCAAATCAATCAAATCAAATCAAAATCATTTATTCCAACTAAACCATAAATAGGTACTTTTGAAACGTCAAAATAGAATAGTAGTCTGTCAGTCTGTTCGTCAGTGAAGCTAGGTTCACATACCACCGATCACTCGGGAACTAAAGCGTGTCATGATGTCAAACATTTAAAAGAAAATATTGCTCTAGCACGAGATCATTTAGAGCTCAAATTCTTATGATTTTTAGAATTTTTAACTCATGGCCTACCCCTTTCTCTCCATTTTCCCAATTTCCCAAAGCTCAGATCCTTAACAATTCCCAAAAAGACGGCAACTTGTAACTCCTCCCTCATATAGTATTGCGAGTGTCCATGGTTGCTTATCATTCGCTACGGTTGACGCCATATACCTACTTACAAAAAAAAATACATCAAATTTAGATCCAAAATCAATCAACAGTAACAAGATTAGTGGTATACGTATTAAAAAATATAATGGTTTTATTAACACGACGCAGGTCCACTACATGTTGGAAGCGACGGACGCGATGGCGTTGTTGCGAGTGGACCGGTGCATCCTCGACGCTATCCGCAACGCCGTCAGGTATCTGGAGAAAGAGTGCGGCAGTACTGTGTGTCAGGTAAGGGTATACTAAACTTAACATTACTTTTTTTACTTGCTATAAACTAGTCCTTGACTGCGATTCCACCTGATGGTAAGCAGTGGTGCAATCGTTGATGGTAAGGCGCACTAGTTTATTAAGAGCCTATTCACTCTAGCCTTGAAGACACCTAAATTGTATTTGGACGGAAAGACTGCAGCCGGCAAACTGTTCCAATCCCTCGATGTACGCGGTATAAATGACGAGGCAAAGCGCTTAGTCCGGGCCACAGGTGTCTCAACAACGTAGGTGTGGATATTTGCCGTACGCCGGGATGTCCAAAGGTGAAATGGGGATGGCGGAATCAAATCGTGCAATCATGTACTGCGGCCTCAGCCTTTTGTAGAAAAGAAGGAGTACAGGGTGGTTTTTAGTCAGTAAGAGACTAACAATCCCTCTCGCCCTACCTAGGAAGGCTGAAGACATTTTGCCTACTTTTTCCCGCCAAAAAGTGTCTTGTTTAGATTAACGGGCTTACTTTTTCTGAGTATCAATTTTGTTCCGAAAACAATTGCTAAGGATTGGGTTAATCCACGGAACAGATTTTCTGTTCTGTGGGTTAATCCATCAGTAAATCTCGACCTATAACTGATGCATATGTACATAAGTACATACATTTTGAAACTCACTTTTTTCTTTCGACTAGCATATAGCGCCATCTGTTGTGTAAGCCAATGCATCTCATGCAATGTCTTTTTGCTTTGAATTATTTCGTTTCTTTCGTTACTTTTTATTTATCTTACTTTGTTCTCCGTGATCTTTATTTCCATTTATGTAAATCGTATCAAAGTGTTTTTTTTATACTATCACTTTTTCTTATTACAGGAAAAATTCAAAGACTTGGAAGACTCAGTTGAAATATCGGTGTCCGTATTTTTTGGAATGAAGGACATTCCGAATCTGATGCAAGATCCCGCCAATCCGAAAGTAAGTGCCGCGAAACGGAACGGACATTTTTTTATAATGTTGCCAGAATCATGCTGAATTACTTTCCCCATTTTGTGGAAAAATAGAGTGAATGTAAAAAAATAAATTTAGGTCGAAAAAAAATACATGATCTTTTGTTTATTGTGTTTTATTTCTTTCAGCGTGATAAAAGCTTGGTCGTCGAGCTAATAAAATATATGTTTGGCGGTGGTTCGCGGTCATTACAAGGACTGAGCTTTTCCCTTATCAACAGAAGTCATTTGTTCATACCTGAAGCACGGAGTGGTTATTATCATGCAAGGGCAAATAAACTTCGTGAACACATGGAGGTAAATAAACTAATAGTTCAACACAAGAAAATATATAAGTACTATTAAGCCTTAGATTATTATTACTTTTTATGTTCAGGCAAACTATTCATTCAATTGAATGACAGATCTTCATAATAATATTGTTATGATAAGAAGAAGATCAGAAAATTTCGGGTTATTTCTTGCTTCGGGTTACTATGCGGATTTATTTCAATACACCACACTTTCACGGCTTTAAAAATCAATTGACCTAAACACCACAATAAAAAATATAAAAAAAATTAACGATATGCAATTTTTTCTTCTTTCAGAAAACTCTAGGTGACAATGGCGTATTAATCTACCCAGTTTTCATCGGTCAGGCTCATCATCATAACCAGGTGTTCCTGAAGGCTTCAGGTGTTATGTACACCATGGTCTTCAACATCCTAGGCATGCCTGCCACCACCGTGCCCATGGGATTATATAAAGGATTGCCCGTTGGCATACAGGTACGAAATTTTTTCATGTAAATGTGTCTGGTTTGTTTGCACGATCATTCACTAGTATATCAATAGGTATATTATATACACTGTTTAAAACTTTACTAAAATATTTTATCACAACTAATTTGACTTCTGTGCGATTAGGATAACCTATAACCTTGATATGAAAGGCGTTAGATATGCGTTTTTAGTAGTTTAATATATGTTTTTATTTTGCTTTTCAGGTGATTGCAGCTCCACATCAAGACAGACTATGTTTAGCGGTTGCCAAACAACTGGAAATTGGCTTCGGTGGGTGGAAACCGCCCCAATAATTATACCTAATGTTTAAGCAAAATAAGGAAATTTACCAAAATCGTTCATAAGTTCAACAAACCACATGTATGGCGTGGTTTATCTTTTTTACCACAAAAAAAAACTAGAATTGTACCTAATAGAACATTTCTTATTACTTTATTCTATTTTGTACGTAAATGTATGTGATAGTAATCTCTATTTAAATTGATTATATGTATAATCGGGTACTTGACTATTTTTGAAATCGTTATACCTACTTACATAAAAATATAAAGTTTTCTATATTTTTCTCCCGTTAAACGGAATGTAAACCTATATGTAAGTAGTTGTTGTCTTTATACTTAAAAATATATATTTTGTTTCCTACTTGTCACGGGATTTTTAAAATATTTGTAAAATAAAATAGTCGAGCACCCAATTTCATTAGAAATAACCAAATGTGCAATTTTGTTTGATAAGTTACTGTTGCCTTTATATTTATTTTATTAAAGTAGGTATCCTGACTAGTGCGTTTCGATACTAATTAAATCAGTATTTCTATTTATTTACATCGTATATGTATAGAAATTTAATGTAATGTAATTACATTGTCATCTATTCATGATAGTACTTATTTTACATTTTGTATTAATGCTGAAGTTTATTTGAAATTATATGATGCCTACCTATTTAAATAAATATCAAGCATATATACGAGGTAATGGATGTTTTTAAATTGTTTGTGACGGGTGCTTCTTATTTTTACAATCAGATGCACAATTTAGCATTCCTTTTTTACTGTTGACTTTTATTTAAAATATAATTTATTACCTAAATGTGCTGTGAGTGTAATATTTAGTTGTGAACTAAATATTAGTTATATAATTCTTGTAGATTATAAGTTAATAAAGTATTGTTCGCACTCTTTAAATTATCGTAATTGGCTATAGCTAAAGAAATAAATGAAATGGTGCGATATGAATTTATTTTATTTTTCCTTTAAATTCTGATTCAATATTTTACTACACTCCAAATGTCTCATCAAAGAATTACTCATCAGTGAGTAATTATTTTTAGAATCTATACCTGAATAGAGGATTTCGTGGTTGATAACCCTGTTCCGATCCATCGGGCGCTTATATTTATTCGAGCGACTGAAATCAACACCTCTTCACAGAGAATCTCAGATTCAGGTAGACTTAATTTGGTCATATTTAACCCCAGCGACACAAGCCTAAGTATTAGCCACCGTTTGTTGTATTTGCTCAGGTTTTAGTGTAATGGAATACTTGGCATCAGCTGGTGTTGCGGGTAAGGGCAATATGGTTCCGCGGCCTCTGCCTGTAGCGGGAGAAGAAACAAGGGAGTTTTTAATCAATAAGATTGACACATTTGTTTCCCATTTTCTATCGCATAGACCACGTAGGAATTATCCGCTCCCGCTTTGATCCCTGCCATGTAGCAGAGCGTTTGGCCATGGACCCACGTGATAATTACACTTCCATTCCCATCTTACAGGTAGTTTGAAGTCAATAACTGTGCAATTTTAACTTTCAGTGGTGGTATATTTGAACCGATGCGACATTCAATTTTGTGATTCCTTATGTGTTCATTAGCGGTGCTGATCCGTATGCTCATTAGCCTTCTATTCCAAAGGTATCGAGATGATGATTGAGATGCTGTCTGGGAAGCAATGCCCGCATTCAATAGAAGTATTATTTTCTGATTACTGAAAACAGTTGGTTGCCTGGACTCACAAAGTTACTACGACAATATTCAGATAAACTTACGGTTCGAAAATTTAACATTTTATTGTAAGGAGGGTAGTTTAGCAGTTATTCGTAAAATCAATCAAGGCCTACAGGATTGTGTGTAAGATCCCAATACACGTATTGTGGGCCCAGCACGGAGCTGCTGTAATTTTTAGTCAGTAAAAGTCTGGCACTCTTTTCCGAATTCCGATGAAGTTGACTGGTAGTAAATATATTACCATGCCATGCCATGCCAATAGATGTAGGTGACAACTTCTCGTTCGTCGTGCAGAGCTAAGGGGGAGGCCTTTGTCCAGCAGTGGACGTTTTCCGGCTGATGATGTTGATGATGAGATATATTACCAGATCGGTAGGTATTGAAATACTGCTTTACACAGGTGTATAAAGTAGTAACAGACCAGGCATTCATTATTATTTATACATCATAGACATCTATCAATCAGTATCTTTGTATCCTTGTTCTACTCGTATCGAGAATCGAGCAACACCTGTCGCCACACTTCGACTCATAGACAAATTAAATAAACACTATTTTTGTGCCCCGTCATATCATATTTATTTATTTTATACTTCATGCATATCATGTACAGTCAGGGGTCGAAAACACAATTGTAATCTACCATTTTTAAAACGTTTATTGAAATGTTTGCTTTGTTTTGTCTGCCACTGCTAAATATATCTGTGACTAGCGGTGGCCCGCGGCTCCGCTTGCGTGGATGTCGGTTACCGCAGCAAAAGCCTAATCAGGAAAGACAGCATATTTTTTTCCAGGACAATTTATATACAGCTTAGATTGGCAGTCACATTGTATAGTCCACAATATAGGAATTATTCCTTTATTTTCAATCGACACCAATGTGTAAATTAACCGTGTTAATTTACTTAAAAAAAAAACAGGTTAGCTCTGTTATAAAAAAATATAAAACGTATTTATTTCATTTCATATTGTAAAAATATATCACGAATAATTTTATTCAAATTTAGGTAAGATTACTATTTCACAACAAACATGCAATTAAGGCTGCTTTCAATTCATTTATCATTGGTAAATACTGAACAATATTCTTATATGTGAAACTGGATGGGTTGTCACATTTTTGCATAACATTGTGTAAACATTGTGCAATAAGGAACAAAAACGGTGCCAACAACATGCTCACAAATTAATATTATTCAATTTCCACGCTGTCATCACAGTTTAAAAGTGGTAATTTGAAATATTTCATGGCAACACTAAATAACGACGTTCTTTCGCGGTGCGTGCGACATGACGCGCCGGTGAATTTTATTATAAATTTGACGTAATTCTTCAGTGCATATCTCGAAAATAAGGTGAACTATTACTATAAGCGTTATATAAACAGTGTTTTAGTGAGTGCATGTGTAAATAACCTGTAATATTGTGCTTGCAGACTTCACAATGGCCGATCAAGTCGACTCAATGTCAGATGCGGAGCTACGAACGAAACTTGCAGAGCATGGGTTTCCTATTATGCCTATTACGGCGTCTACCAGAAAGTTGCTGGTAAAAAAGTTAAAATTAGTGCTAGACAACAAGACTAAGCCTCGAGCTAGCGTTGACAACAAGGCCGACACAAGGCGGTCACTTGCACGCTATTCTAGCGGTGAGGAATCTGATTTGGATACAACCGCTAATGCTAAAGAGAAACGTGGCCGCCGGGCGACTACGGGAGGGGCGATGCTGCCTCCCGCAGCCAATAAGGCACGTCGCCCGCCTCCCAAAAAAGGTTCTCCCGCTAAACGAGATTCCGACAAAGGTTCCGAATCAGACGAAGAAAAACCTGTGAGAACACATGAAGAAGTTGAAACTGTGACCACCCGCACTATCAAGCGCACGTACGCGGCCAACGACGCTGATGATTACGAGACTGGCTCTGACAGCGATGTTGACGCCGACAAGAAAACATCTAGTCCCTTCCGAAGCAACTCTAGGTCAAGTGACTACATCTCTAGTACATTACCAAGTGTTGATGTCAATGTTAGTCCCCCTAAGACATCAGTGTTCTCTCGTGCGTCCATTATACCAACTAACTATTCATCTTCATACTCATCCAGTATGACTTCTTCTGATAATCTCAATTCAATACGATCACGGTTAGGATTAACATCTTCACTTGCAGATCGTCCATCTATCATACCAACAACCAACTACTCCAACTACTCGACAAGTACTTATCAGCCATCTACTTCTACTATTGATGAGGTAGAATCTCCATATTTAAGTAACTTTACCCGACGTTTATCGGCACTCAAATCAGATCCACCAAAGCCTGCAACATCTTACCTGGACCGTGACACTACCAATGGGAGTACTGTGTTGCCTCGCAGGTCTTACATTACTGGTGTCAACCGTTCTGATGTAGTGGACTATAAATCTGCTACAGACAAGAAATTTTTGAAGAATAACCTCGTTTCACTTGCTCTGGTTGTGTTAGTAGCACTTTTTTTTTTTTGCTTATTTTTCATGTATATAGTTAAGAAAAATGATATCACGTCAGTGGTGGATGATCAGAATAGTATCATACCAATCTGTCAGTTGAACATACCTGGCAATCGACCAGGCATTAACTGTGTGCCTAAAGAACAAGTCAGTTATGCTAAAAATCTTCTTAAAGTCATACATCCTGAATTAACTAGTCGGATAGCTTCATACAAGTGTGGTCAACCAGGATCACTACCTTATCTCACGGAACGGGAAATTATTGACATGGCCAGTGCCAAGGCAGTAACCCCTGATGTCAGCAGCCAATGTCGCACAGACCTAAATAACTTGCAAGTTCTTCTCATAAATAACCCTCGTTGGGGGCTAAATGTAGTTCAGTTGAAAAACCTTTACACAAATGATGTTGAATATTCTCCCATTGCTTCTACTGACCTAATTGTGCAACTAAGAACCAAAGGAACAGTAGCCATCACTCTCTCAGATCCATCAACACCTTTGTCATGCTTATTTGTTAACACTTTGTATTCTGCTGGGTCCAGTCTAATTGTAATTGCCCTTCTAACTTTACTTGCCTTAGGCCTTCAAAGAGCTTACAAATATTATGTGATGTATCAAAAGAGAAAGAGTGAAGAGATCTATTCTATGGTTGAACAAATTATTGATGTGATATCTCAAGAGACTGAGGATAGTGGAGAACCATACATATCTGTGGACCATGTGAGGGATACTCTCATCTCACCACAAAACAGGGAGAAAATGGCATCTGTTTGGGATGCTGCTGTCAAGTTCATACAACGGAATGAGAGCAGAGTGCGCATGGAAGTACAATCCGTGGACGGAGAGGATTGCCGCGTCTGGAGGTGGATTTCTGCACACAGCAGCCCCAAGCGCAGCGCGTCATGGCAAGGCCAGGCTTTTGAAACTCAGGAAGGCTCCGTCAACAACCTAGTAGTCTCTCCAACTCCGTGTCTGAAAATACGACACATGTTCGACAAAAACGACGACAACCCTCTATTGAGGGTGAAGATACAGGACGCTATTTTGGAGAAATGCGACACGCACTGCAACATCCTGCACATCGACATCGACCGGTCGTCGTGCTGCGTGTACGTGAAGTGCGCGTCCCCGGGCGACGCGGGCGTGGTGTACCGCAGCCTGCACGGCTGGTGGTACGAGGGCCGCCTCATCACCGTCAAGTACCTGCGCCTCGAGCGCTACATGCAGCGCTTCCCCACGTCGCCCACCTCCGGGCCCTACCTCACGCTCACCAGGCACTCGCGCCGCGGCCTCTGGCCCGACGAGTAGACTCCTACTGGCTACCGGTGCAGCGCCACTTCGGGGATGTTATACTTGTGTGTTATGGAAGTTTCAGAACTAACCTGAAAGCTTCATTATTTATTGCGAATAACTTTCAAGGATTGTTGTCTGTAGCTCAAGTTATTTCATTGCATTTCTTTCGGGTTTATAAACTGATGATTGATTTGCCAATGGCATAGGTAAAAATGTTAAAGATTGCATGCACATTGACTGTAAATTAATCCGTTTTTTATTTTCTAACATATTTTCATAATAAATACATGGCATAATATTTGTTCATTTGTATTTTTGTCATTTATTTCATCGTAAATTGTTATTGGTAACTTGAAAAGTTTTATAAAGTCATCTGGTTTGTACGAAGTCTTGCCTGAATACGTCAATGATTGTAATAATATATTGTACCTGTGTTATATTTTATTATTATAAAACTGTATCCCAAATACGGGCCACGCCCTTTAACATGTACTAAGCTTAAATACTTGTACTTGTCAATTAAATTGTTTACGACTTCGGTAGTCACTGATCTGATTTATTTCCTTAGTAAGGTGCTGGTCTTAACTTAATGCCTTAGATTTGAAGGAAAAGTGTTTTTTCAATAGTTTTAGCAGAATTAAATGTTCTCTTTGGAATTTTTGTAAATATTTCACATCACAGATTTCAGATGTATTTCTACTGTTTCGACTTAAGTTACGAAGTTTCAAGGGCTTATATTTGTTATTGAATTTACTGATGTTTTGGAACAAATTGTTTAAAAAAAAGTTAGTTTTAAGTAGGATAAGTTTCATAGGGTATAACGACGCATACACACATTGATTTATTTTCTTATGTCATAAGTATCGAAGCGACTGCACAACGCGAGGTGACCTAGGTGTGTTTTAATTTCGTATAAATTGACATTTTGTTCTTAAGTATTTCTACTAACTTCACTATACTTAATATCTAGTTATTTTTATGGATTGATTTTCATTTTTTAATAAATTGATTAAGTAATTACTTGTTTCCTTTATCATATTCCCGTGTAATTTATAAAAATCACTAATTTGAATATTAAGTTTTATTTAAAACGCATAGCCATAATAATGTTTCATATTTATATCACAACAATTGGCTAGTTTCAACAGCTAAAAAAAAATTATTTCACCATATATAATCATAAAAATACTCAAATATAAATCAAGCCTGTATTCAATAATTTTCGATATATTGTCCTAAATATTCCTATTTTGTTTAATAATTCAAGAGTAATGCCACAACATGCATTTTCATACAAGACTTATACACAGTAAATGATAGTTTGAGACTATTCGAAAAAAGTATTGTATTTGACTATTGTGAATTACAATAAATCCATGAAATAAAAACAGGAAGCAAATAAAAAATATGATTTAATAAACATTCTTTCACATAACTTATTCAACTAAAACCTTTATTCAATAACGTTATAAAATATCTTAATGCATGTCACGATGGAAATATGATGTAAGCACTAGTAGATAACATAAATGGCCGAGGGGTAACCATGACATTCAAATAAAGACTGTCTTACTTCAGTGTGGGTAAGTGACGGAGCTAGACAACTTGTATAGCTCTTTCTCTTACTTTGAACGTCATGGTTAACCCCCTGTCATCATGTCCTTTAGTAGTTTAGTATTTCAGTGAGCGACTGGTAGCAACGCCATTTGTCAGGCAGATAGAATGGCTCGAAGACATGAGGGAAGGGAGCGTCCCAGCCAGTCACGCGGGAGATAGGAGCTTCCAGATGTAAGAAACACTCCTCCTGTTAAAAGAAATAGTGTAAGTAAATGTAAGATGAACAGAAATCGACATTCACTAATTGTTTCTAGATCTAGGTGTGATTGTGTGTGATTTTACGAGCGGGAGGGCCGTGCTTCAGCACAATTAGTTTATCGGTGGTACCATATTAATTATTTAACCTTTATGCACAACGCACATAGGTGGGCTTAGTGCTAACAAGCATTCTTGCTAGCCAACCTTTGGGTGATGCAGTAAGAATACGGTCGGTGCAAAAAAGTAGGTACAAGAACTAACCTAAAATAAAAGTAATTAATTAAACTGCATAGCCATATTCTCACGCTTGCTTTATTTTGCCGTACCTATGCGTGATGTTATAGGCTTAATCCTCCTCCCCAACCCTCACAATAAAAGGGCCAGCAAGGCACTAGTATCTTGTCCTTCAGTGCAGGAACTGTCCATTGCTTACCGTTACATGTTGCTTTAGCTTGTTTAGCCAATAAAAAGAAATATATTGATAAACAGTCACGAAAAACTATAAAACAAATCTTATAAGAATTGTGTGCTAGCTGGACCCCAAATTCAGTCCCAAAAGACCGACAGCGCATAAATACCTTTCGGTGTTGCTAGTCGTTATTTATTTAGATTGCTTCCCATCACCAATCAGCATAAGCCGTCAGTTCGACAGACATTCTACAGATCTTATTCATTTATTACGATAAGGTAGGCTCACAGCTTATGTATGCAAAGTTGTTAGAATTAAAAGAGGTCCCATTCCATCGTAAGAGGAAAGTGTAATAAAATAACATTACCTGTATAGTAGCGGCCAATTCAGCTCCAAATCCTGACGTCAGAGGAGCTTCGTGAGCGATCAGACAGCGACCAGTTTTCTTTACAGACTGTAAAAATGTACCTATATTTTAATACAATATACAAAGGAAAAAAAAAAAAATAAGATACAACTCAAATTCGTATTTAGTGTTTTCCTCAGTAAAAAGTAGTTTATTTCGAATTGTTCATAATGTCGTGCTGGCCCGGAGTTTAAGGCGCCCTCTTCTCATACATGAGGGTTCGAAACCTGGCAAGTACCAATGTGACTGTCTAAATAAACTGTAGGTACTGTCTATGATTATTCAGACATCACTGAGATGAAGGAAAAGAGGCCTTTTCTCAGCAGTGCATATGACTGATGACGTATGTATTTAATTATAACTGACCAATCACAGTTTGCTTCTTGACGTTCGGCGCTCTGATTGGCCTACTCCAAAATAACCAACCAGTCACAGGTCTAGATGCGGTAATGTTTTGTGCTTTAACGTAACGCACCATGCATTCAGGTCATCAATTTGTATTTTAAAAATACTAACGTTGCAAACAGTTTCTTCATCCCAGGGCAGGATGGACTGTAGGTCGATCACGTCACACTTGACTCCGAGCTTTTCTTCAGCAATCTGCGCCACCTCCAGCAAGACGTGGACTTGTGTACCCCAGCCTATTAAAGTCGCCGCGTCACCTGGACAAAGGAACAGCGTATTTGGACGTGTCTTCGGTGTATTATGTAAATACTATAAATGCGAAAGCTTGTAAGTAGTTGTAAGTATGGATGGATATTTGTTACTCTTTCACGTAAAAACGAACGAATGAATTTTAATCAAATCTGACACAGAGATAGATAAATCTATCTCTCAATATCAGAATATATATTTTTTTTAATGTAATTGGTCGGCAAACGAGCAGACTGATTACCAGATGGTAAGCAATCAGCGCCGCCCATGTACACTCGCAACGGAGGAGTAACGAGTGCCTTGCCGACCTTTTAGGGATTAGGGATTTGGAGATTTAGGGATTGAGGAGTGATTGGGGGAGGGGAAGGATTGGGCCTCCGGTAACCTTACTCACACGGCGAAACACAACGCTGTGGTTGTTTCACGCCGGTTTTCTGCGAGGCCGTGGTATCACTCAATCATTATAGTTTATATGACAGGATCACAGTATTTCTACAAGTTCGCACATAAAACCGTTTATTGTACAGCGCTAAATACTGGTCCACCAAGAAAATATTGCAGGAGCCTTATTCGCAGAAGAGGACGCATTTTTATGGATATGAAAAAATTGATAAATATTTTAAAAGTTCTTACCTTCTCTTAAGACTTGAGCCTTCCCAAGTGGTATGGTGTAATCTTCCACTGGAACCTCTTCAGCTGCAGAACGGTATAAGATCTTAGGCTCTAGGAACACACAGGGGTCCTTCTCCCTGATACACGATAGGAGGAGACCTTTAGCTGTGATAGGACCGCGAGGTACAACTACCTGGTGAAAATTATCAATTTTTTAAGAAACGTTGCCTAAACCTTTGTAATATGGCTGGCCCTAAAAGATTTAATTCCTCATTCGAACTTATAAACAATTGTATAGAAACGATAGCACCGGATTACTATGGGTTCTATCAGATTTATTACGATGGGTCCAAGGACGACCATGGAACAGGAGCAGCATTTTTTGATCCACAGTGTAACACGGGAGCTAGTTTTGTATTAAATTGTAAACTATCTATAATGACAGCGGAATTGTATGCGATCTCAGAGTGTCTGTCTTACTTAAAATCGTGCAATAATATAAACTTTGTTGTACTTTGTGATTCCAAAAGCGCTTTGCAGCATATAGCTCGGTGCACCTCGGGTATACGAGGCTTGCCTGTAGCTTATTCCATATTAGAGACCTATATAAGGTTGAGAAATATTGGCAAAATAATTAAATTTCAATGGATCCCGTCGCATGTAGGTCTGGTAGGAAATGAAATAGTAGATAGGTTAGCAAAAGCAGGAATATATGAAGGAATATCTGTTAGCTATTTACCCTTCTTCACGGATATCCTAACAGACGTCAGACATACATGTTACAAAGTGTGGAAAGAATATTTTGATTAACGATCTGAAGAGAAGGGTATATGGTACAAAACTATACAATCCGAGCCACCTAAGATTCCTTGGTTTACTGAGGTGAAGATGAACAGACAATTGTTGGTTACATGCTTACGTTTGCGAACCGGGCACATTCCAATGAATGCGTTTGGACATCTTATGAAAGTTACTAACTCTCCTAATTGTCTGACTTGCAATTTAAGAGAAGATGTCTACCATGCTTTGGTGGAATGTGCTCGGATTGGCGTAGACCGGAGATAGTTAGAATACAAATACAGCATAAATTTAAGTGATGTCGGTATGTGTAACATTATTCTGTCCAAACCAACATCCAAACTAGTTTTTAAGATATGTTGTCTAATTGTTAAATTAATCAAGTTAAGATCTTAGTTATTATTAATTTTTGTTATTATTATTATTACTTTTCTATGGGGCTGGCATCATCGCTTTGCGATTAAAGCCCTTTATCAATAAAGATAAATAAAAACCACAGAAAATTGACGTGAACTCGATTTTTAGTTAACTTAGTGAAACAACTTGTGTCGTGTTACACTGTAAGAGCAAGGTTACAAGAAACCCCCTTATCCCCTTAATCCTCGATCCTCCATCGTTGACTTCCCCAATCCTAAATCACTTATTCATAAATCGTTTACCACCAGGTGATCCGTCTGCTCTTTTGCTACTCAATCCCACTTTTTTATTATTTATTATACTCATCTACCCAGTGCAGAATAATTACTTTTTACACACCTCGCGAAGAAAAAGCGAGAGGAGAGTTAAGAGGGTTTTTTTTGTTAAAAATATCTTTTTCGTATTAAACACAGAAGCGACCTGCTTTGACTTCGCAAGGGTGCTATACTGATACTCAATTTCTCCACTCTTTAACGGATGTTATTATACCTACATATAAAATATCCTCCTCAATCAGTCTGCCTAAAAAATTTGGCTCTTTGAGGCCCGTGTTTACGGTGACCAGATATAATACATACCCTAAGTCCAGGCACATGTGCGAAGAAAGCTTCGGGGCTCTGTGAGTGGTACAACCCCCCGTGTCCTACAGCGCTGCACGGAGTGCGGATAGTCAGCGCTCCGCAGTCAAACTGGCCGCCCGACCGGTAGCGGGCCTTCGCCGCCTCGTTTACTATCTGCAAATTTGGTATTACGAACATTAGATTATTATATTCCAGATTTTGATTTTTTTTTGGTGTTATGTGTCACCGGTCCTAGTGGACCCCACTTGTTCTTGGCCCCCCACACTAGGATTTTCTCCTGTATCGTGGGTGCGTTTAAAAACATACAATTTCACATACATGACAATGATACCCAGACCCGAAATAACAATTTGTGGATCACACAAAGTGTGTCCGTGCGGGAATCGAACCCGCGACACGTCGCATGGCAATTGGCAGCCAGTTGCCCAGCCACCGCGCCAACCGTGCAATCAAATCAATACTTTATGACAAGTAGCAAAGTATATACAGTAAAGTACATAAACACAATGTAAACAGTGATTGAAATGATGGTAACATGACTAATGCTGTTATCTTGCACTATTTTGTATTGTAAACAAGTTTCAAACGCAATAATATATATTATAAGTATTATTACACTATTTCTTGATACTTTAAGAGTGTTAGGTACGCCGCACAGGATTTTTATACAAATATTCACGTCAAAATTGACATATTATGTCAAGATCGTAATATCCTTCCATTTCTCCTCATTCTCTAAATTTCCGAAACTTAATCCCTAAAAGACCGGCAACGCACTCGGAACTCCTCTGGTGTTCCGGGCGACATCGATTGCATACCATCAGGTAAACCTTCCGATTGTTTGCCGACCATAATCACATAAAAATCGAGCATCAAGCTAGAGCTTCCAAGAAGGGGGGCGATTTTATTGCCCCTTCTTGTCTTCTTAAAGTCTTTTTCGAAAAACTACATACTTCATAAGTACTTATTGTAGGAGTACCAAGTATCATTAAAATAAGTTTTGCAGTTGCCATTTTGTGCAAAGTTTGTATGAAACCCGTTCGGCATAAACGCTTATAGTGAAATATTGTAATTGACTAATTTTAAAGTTTTGCTGACGAAAGTTGCTGCGTAGGGACTTTTACTTTTTATATCTTCCATGGGAAAAATCACAAAGCCTAAGAGGCAAGTCCACAATATTATAAAATAAATTCATAAATATTACAACATTGTGGGAGAGCCAAGCTTCGGCACGAATGGATCGGCTCGACTGGAGTGATACCACGGCCTCACAGAAAACCGGCGTGAAACAACCACATCCTTATCTTTCGCCGTGTGAGTAAGGGTTACCGGAGGTCCAATTCCTCCCCATTCCCATCCCAATTCTTAAATATCCGACACCTTTATCCCTAAAAGGCACCCGTTACTCCTTTGTGCGTGTCCATAGGCGGTGCTGATTGCTTACCATTAATTAAAATCCGTCGGCCGTTTGCCGACTTATACCTCATAAAAAAAGAAATTTCTAGATGTAATTATATACAAACCTGGTCAAAAGCTGGGAATATGTAGTCAGCAAACTGTATTTCTGCAATAGCAGTAGCGCCGGCCGTGGCCAGCCCGATACCGAACCCTGCGATCCCCTGCTCACACAGCGGAGTGTTGAACACGCGGTCCTTACCATACTTCTCCTGGAAATAAAGAAAACTAACTTTTATTGTCAAATGATTTTAAGTCTTATTGAATAATAATCTTCAAGCTGAGTTTATGGTATTTTTTTTTAACTTATGTGTTTTGTTTTTTATTCGTACCTGTAATGTGACTGGACTTCTTTCTTTTATTTTTAACTGTTAATTTAAATGATATTTAATAACTTAAACACTCAAAGACTCACCCCTTATTACATTACTATTAATCACTAGTGAAAAGTTGGTTTTATCAGAACCATATTATTCCAGAGGCAGACTAGAAAAGTGTTTAGGGCGCCAGGTTGCAGAGGGGCGCTAGGCACGACTGCTTAAAACTGCATGCAGCGCAGTAGCATGGAATGGCCATATCAGAGAAAAAGGACACACAATATGCTAGCCCTGGTTGATCATTTGGTTTCCCACGGAAATGTTTTGTAAGACATCCATTGTAGTATTATAAACATCGTATAATAGATGTAAAAAATATTACTTGTAATCCAAGTGCACATCGGAAGACTCCACCGAAGGCAACATCTTCACCAAACAGAACAGCTGTCGGGTCATTCTTCAGAGTAAGGTCCATTGCATTGTTGATGGCCTGCATCATGTTCATTTTTGCAGTCTCTCCTGAAAGTTATGAAGTATTTTTTTTGTGTTAATTCTACTAATATTATAAATGTTAATGTCAAGAATGTTTGTTAGTATAAGATGGATGTTTGTTATTCTTTCACATATAAACTACTAAACTGATCAGAAAGCAATTCAATAAATAGAAAAATTTTATGCTGGAATATCACATATATATCGCTGAGCTGCTGGTAAAACCTTAATTTTAATATAAAGTTAAAGCTATAGTATAGAGTGTAAACTGTTGTAATATGAAGTATTTAAATAAATTTTATATTTAGTTTTTCAGATCACAAGTTTTTGTTGGTTATGTAGAACTCAAACAGCAGAATAATATCTGAAAATATAGTCTGATTTCCATAACAATACGTGCAAAATATGTATTTTAATTTAATCCATGGTATGCCAGATTGAAGATCTATTGACGGCACAGTGTTTTCTATTGTCTCTTATATACTGATAGACAAGTGGTCAATGTGAATGTTTCTGTCTTATTATCATACTTTCCAATATTGAAAAGTAAATTGCAATAAAAGAAAAAACAGAACAATTTTGTCTGCTACCTTGAATCCCCAACCTTAATGGATTTTGCATTAACCTAAGCATGTATGTTGAGTAATTATATTGGTAAGCAGCTGCTGCATTTACTCCAAATAATAAAGATTTATTGCCTATTTCATTTACAAGTACATTATGAACACTCAAAGTCAAGTTAAGCAAACAAATTCTAAATTAAAGAAAAATAATGGATTGCATAGGTTCACTTCATTATTTTGCTTCACTAAGCAAAAATAGGATATGTATCATCATCATCATCATCATCATCATCATCATCATCAGCTTACAAGTGCCCAATGCTGAGCAAATACTTCTTTCACACAGAGAAGGTTTGAGCATTAATAACCACCCTTACACAAGGCGGAATGGCGATTTCAAACTTATAAATAGAAGCATGCATACTGGCCACTAAGTTTAAAATAAATATCTCTTTTTAAATAATTATAATACATATTGAATAAACATGTAGAACTACAAAATATTTATTTATAAAATAACATCTCCAACTTTATAAAGTTATAAAAATAAAGCCAATAATTTATATTGATTGCAAATCACTGCTATCTTTAATTCCTTATCTTGTTGCTATTTAATGGCACATCATTTTTTAATAACACTAACCTATATCATGTGGACAAGTTCATATTTAAACTATAAGAATATGACTTTTAAAATTGTTTTTAATACAATAATGTGATGAGGGTAGATTCTATATAACTACCCCCAAAAATAGGTATGCAAGTATGTAGTACTACTAAAATACCTGACTGTGTAAAATAAAAAAAAAATGGTAAGCCATGAGTAATAAAACATTGAACTATGTTGTGTCTTGGAATTTGTTTAAAGACAAAATGAACTGCAAATATTTGTCTAGACTAGACAATGATTTACCTAAGTAATGTGAACAAAAAAAATTACTTCAAACATTTTAAAAGAATGGCAAAGTACACATCCTTCAAGAATAAAAATTGTAATAAGTTGTATTTTTATAAGAGTATTGTAACTTGTGTATAATAAATAGTGTGATGAACCATGCATGGTAAGTAACCATGCATTACGGTCACAGTATCATCAACAAATACAAATATTCCCTTACCTTCCACAGGTTTCTCATTATCAGGATAATAAATAAAGTGAGAAGACAATCTCTTAGTACAATCGCCGACATTTTTAACTAATCTCGCCAACAAAACACTCTTTTTCGTCACTAAACTGGCCATTTTTAACGGTTATGGCGACGTGCGTATTGCCCCCAGTAGAAACGATTAATAAATTAGGTAATACATCTTATCTACAATTGTAATTAGTTGCGCTTTGATTAAAATTCGTTGATAAGCGGGCGAATGACGAAAGGCTAAACATTCTCATTCTTGTTTTCAGTAGGTTGTGACGTTCATCAATGATAGTGATACTGTCGCTTCGATATTTTTCCATTTTAAACTTTGTTTATTCCGTTTTAAGAGTTATAATATGAGCGATAAATAAACTGCCTGTAAGAACTTATTTGCATTACAACACAATACATTCAACACAAACTTTTTGACAGTTGAAGTCACTGTCATTGTCATTGTCACTGACTGATACATTCAAGTCCAAGTGTCAGTTGTCAAACTAGAAAGATGCGTTCATAGTGCGGCACAGTTAAGGACTTAGTATTTACAAAATGCATTACGGATCTGTGAAAGAAAAAGTCGTATATTATTATTATATGTATGTATCCATATTATCCTATTTTTTCAATAATAAAATCTTTCATCATCATCGTCAGCCTGTTGTCATCCACTGCTGGAATAATAAAATCTTTACCGCAGTTAAATGAGGTCAAAAATCTCAAAAATCTAAGTCGTGTGTAATTTATCATTCACTAGCTGTTAAAATACAAGCCTGTTTAGTTTTCGTTTTTATTTAAGAAAGGAAATGAAAGGTTTTAACTTTTAAGCGACTTGTATTGATGCATTCATTGGAAGACGCCTTTTTTCGGCAGTGGTCGTTTTGTGGGAATAAATATTATGATTGACAAACTCCTAATTTCTACCGGTTTAGGTAATGTTGATAGACGTTTTCCTCTTGATCAAGAATGATGTTAATTAATGCACGGGATTTGGAATTGTGATTGATGCATGGGAATAAGCTCATCCCATTATACATATGTATAGCTCTTAAAATATAACAAGTGGAAAAATGAGTAATATAATAATTAACGTGGTGTTCCTAAATCAAGTTTTAGATATATTCATTTGAAAACTTGAAAAGATATAAAAGCGGGTTAAATTTCCATACCTATGTAAATACACAAACATAAAAGACGCTGAGGTAACGGAGGACGACAATATCAATAAACGATGTTTTTCTTTTTAATGAAGGTAGGTACCAAATCTTCTATGAAACACTTAATTTATTTTTGTAATATTTACCTATTTAAAACCTAAAACTGCATTTTACACGTACAACTATATTTAAAAAAAATAAGTAGATGAAGCCGGCCTTCAAAATACAACAGATTCCTATGATACTCGAGTTCCATAAATTGTACAATTTTGTGAGTTGACGACTGCATTTTTTTATGTTTTCACATTATAGTTTCTATTCAATATTATTTTAAGTTTTGTATTAAAAAACTGTAGGCTAGGTACTTACCTACTGTTATACTTAATTAAATTAATTCACTCGTAACTGTGTTGTGTAATAATTTTATTTAACTTCTTATCGTTTTCATTGATTGCGAGAATGCAATCGGTTTTATTTGCTAACATTTTTCATTGAGGCGGCCCTTTTGTTCAAGCATAATGACCTACTATTTATTTAGTACGTAGTGGTCGTATACAAGCTGATTATGGAAAGTGACGTAATTTCTTTTCTTTTACGTGATAGGATCCCTTTTTTGCCTGATGGTAAGCAATCGGCACCGCCTAAGGACACCCGCAACACTAGAGGAGTTCGAGTGTGCTGCCTCGTATCTCCTCGTATCCTCGTATTTTAGGGATTAGAGTTTCGGAAATTTAGGGATTGTGGAGTGGGAAGAAGAATTGAGCCTCCGGTAACCCCATTCACACGGGGAAACAAAGATGTGGTTGATTCACGCCGGTTTTTTTGTGAGGCCACGGTAATATATCGGTCGAGCCAATCCATTTGTGCCGAAGAATACCTCTCCCATACTTACTGCTAAATAATTTTTTTTCACTCATAAATAATTGTTTAAATATGGTACCACATTAACATTTTCTCTTGAATCGATGGGCACAGAGCCAGCTACACATCTAGTCCAGGAGGCACAAGTTGTGGATCTGGGATAAGATGTCGATCACACAAATAATTACTCCTTGCAAGGTAAAATTCAAAGCGTTTGATTCAACTAGACAACTTATAGGCACTTTTGAGATGTCAAAAAAAGTCTGTCAATTAACCGAAGGCCCAACACGTCACACGACAGCCGATCACCGACTGTTTAACAAAACTTACTTGAAATAATGAAGTATATCAATCTTAACAATTACCTACTGAGTAAGCTTACGAACGAAATAGTTGCGTCACAACAATACCGCGCGGAGACAATATTGTTTTCTGCAATAAAATTAACAGATCTGCAGGTGACAGTTGACAGTCCAATAAAGATATTGAGCTTGTGCTGACATTATCCTCAACCTGTAAAAGAAACCCTTTTTGTATTCGAATACCGACATCGTTAATAAAATACTTTATTATTATTATTGTGAAATTATTTATATTGCTTTCAGACAAGCAATCAATAATTTCATATGGTTGCGAATTTGGTTGTCAGGTTAAGTTTTCGTTTTAATTTGTAAATTTCAATTAAGAGTCGTGTGGAAATAAGAATAGAACCTAACCTGGAAATGATACCCAGTCTTCCCCCGGTAGGCTAAAAGAGTACTTACTTAATTGGGATCTGCAAATTCTTTTATGTAGACCCATTGTACAGCATTGGATTGTCTCGGGTTACTCTCGCCGAAACCGAGGCGTTGCTGACTGTGGTCAAATAGACATAGGTTTAATTGGATAGTAATGTAGTGATAGTTAAGTTTTAATGTATTCCTAAATTATGTATAAATAAAATGTATGATTATGTATAAGTGATGAGTTAGTTATCTAACTAAAAATAAATATTATCAAGGATGAATCATAGCATAACAGTAACTGAAAGTGACTGTAACGCCTGTGGTACAGATTCAATTCTATACAGGCACCGTAATGTTATTTACCTAGATTAATTAAAATGTAAGACCTAATCTAAGCTATTTATGTACAAACATAAATAAATAAATTTGATTGATTGATTGATGTTTGATTCCACGGCGTCAGAGGAACTAAAAAGCTGCCTTCTTCCGCTGCAGAGATACTATGCTCTAGTAGGAGACTATCCGAAAACACACCCGTGGTTATGGCGTGTCCGCGTGCACCTCAAAAGGCCATCAGATCACCACAGATGTAGCTTAGGGGAGCAAAAGAAGGAGCGGAGTGGTTTTTATTCAGTAAGAGTCTGACACTCTCTCCCGCCTTAACCTGGGCGGAAGAAGTCATTTAATGATTTGCCCCTAACAAAAAAAAAGAGTTTGACTTTTCCAGTCGCGTTACAACGGGTGAAAGAAGTAATTCGGTGATTTTACCCGTAAAAAAAGATCTAGTCTAACTTAAATCAATAAGGGCACAACCTGTATTTGTAACTGACAAATAGCAATTGGTTTGTCTTAAAAGCTGAAACTTATATTATGTCATTGTTATGTAGAACAAGCAAGTCTATGTAAATAGGCAATTTATCACAGCTGTTCAGTAGAACCTATTATTCAGTACCTGCATTTTAATACTACTGAGTATTTTCCTCTGCCATTCTTATCGCACGCAACATTCTTTAGATTTCCATGAAGTGAACCTATTTCTAGGGCAACACTTACTTAGGTCTGAGGGAATTTCTGTTATCTGAATGTAGGCATAGGAACCAGAGATACGTGGAATTTAGTTACAGGTGGACCTGGGTCCACGGATCCGGGTATCTTTGATAAAAAACCAGGCGGTGGAGGTAGTAACCATAATATACGGACTTCAGTTTTATTTTCCTTAAATAATTCATTCTGATTCCTTATTTCGTTTGTGCAAAAATTTTTGTAGAATTAGTACTTATATTCTGACTGCACGGTGGGCGCGGTGGCTGGGCAACTGGCTGCCGTGCGACGTGTCGCGGGTTCGATTCCCGCACGGAACAACACTTTGTGTGATCCACAAATTGTTGTTTCTGGTCTGAGTGTCATGTGTATGTGACATTGTATGTTTGTAAACACACCCACGACACAGGAGAAAATCCTAGTGTGGGGTAACGTTTTTTAAAAAACAATTTTATAAGTACTTGGTGGTGGTTTGATTAGGAAAAATCATCAATTGATTTCTCTCGAAGTGTTAGACTCTCACTGACTAAAACTCCCCGTTCTTTATCCTGCTTTACCCCGGGGCCGGGGCTACTTGCGCTTTCTATTGCTTTCTGTGACAAATGATCTGGCAAAGTTTGACTTCGTTAGGTAATGGACTTTTTTTGTCTTTTTTAACACATCTATACTAATATTATAAAGAGGTAACATTTGTAAGTTTGTATATAGGGGGTAATCTTTGAGACCGCTGGTCGGATTGCCAAAATTCTGTCACTGATAGATAGCTACAAATTTTTTTGAGTGCCATAGGCTATAAAACATCACGCTACAACCAAATGGAGCGGAGCAGCGGGCGAAACCGCGCGAGAGTAGCTGGTATAATACAAATAAGTAACTGTTAGTAGTCCATTTACTACATAAATAATTTGATGGCAAATAGAAAAAAGTGGTTGGATTGTATTATGGTTGTCAAGCCATGAAGTAATACAGGTTCATGGCTTAACAAGCGTAATATTATTAAGAATCTCTATCTTGTAGTTCTCCACTAACAAACGGAGCTTACAATACAACTGATCAGATAATTTAAACCAGTTAAAACGGAGTGCTCATTACTCGCGAGTCAAAAAGAAAATAACGACCAATTAATTATCAGCAAAAAGGTTCCCAAGATATCAATAACCCTTGCCCGTTAACTTTTACAGTTAACTGTTAACTCGAAGGTTATCAAGACAGCTTAATAATTACATATTTATTATATAACTAAAAAAATAAACCGCTCGCTTATAAACCGAGTTAACAAAGACAAAACTAGTTCAAGAATAATCGACATACCATTCACACACATAGACAATATACATGTAGACTAGGTTTTCGCACACATACATGGGTTTACCACAGAGTAAATGATACCAGTTTGGTAACTCTTTGCTATTTTTAGATCT